GAAAGATTTCTGACCTAAGCAGCCTACCTGAAATACCCTATATTTTATTTCATTAACCTAAAACAAGGTATGTAAAGGATAGAGAGATACCTTAGGATCAATAATAATATTGAAATCAAGAAATTTTCTCAAGTGTAGTATTTAATTAAAAAAAACTTATTTTTTTAACGTGGGAAATAAGACATTCTGCTATAAAAACATATCAAATAGAGGAAATAATGATAGGCTTTAGGATGTGAGAGTATTTGTAATTATCAGCACTCTCTAGGTTCTCTGTGTAGTTGTGTAAAAGTGCATTGAAAGTCTTTTGCATATGGTCTTTCTGTATGGTTTTTTCTGCCTTGTGGGTTGTACATACAGCCTCTGCACTGATGCAGGATATTGCTGGGAGTTTTTATTCCTTAGTTTTTAACTCTCTTGCCTGAGAAAGAGGATTTTCCATCCAGCTTGTTTACTTCATGATTTATGTCTAAATTGACAGAGTCCTTCGGAGGCATTCGTGTTAAATTTGAAACAAACATATTTAATGCTCGTGTTGTAATAAAACAGCTAAAAGAGCAGATTAAAAAGATATGCACAGAGGGGTCTGATTGATTGAGGGATTGATTTTACTACTTTTCCCGTAGGTGGGTAGTGATGGCTGTAAATCTCTTGATAATCATTTCAGAAGCACCTTCATCAATAAACTCAAAAGGGACAGCTAGGTGTAAAAAATTGCCAGCCATCAGGTCAAACAAAAGGCAGCAAATGTGTAAAGAAAGAATAGAATTAAATAATCCCACCTTGGTCGGTTATGGCATTAGTCGTGTTCATTTTTATCTCGGGGGCGGGGGAGCTCCCCATCGCCGCGATTCTCTGGGATTTGGGGGATGGTTAGGTTGTTACCTTTAAATTTTTTTCCCCCCCCCCTTTTCCTTCAGCTCAGCCCGTATTGCTCACGATTCAATTATGCGGCTAAAAGCTCGCGTTTGTGAGCAATGATCAATTATTAGTTGTCAGTAATAATGGAGAAGGATTCAATTCTGGTGTGTGTCCCCCCCCCCGTCTCCCCCCCCCCCCCTTTTTTTTTTTTTTTGGGAATTTTTATTTAGAAAATCACAAAAAAAGGAGAAGTGAGCGAGGGAGGTGGGGAGAGCTGACAGTATTTCCACAAAAGTAGTCATACCTAAACCCACACAGTCACAGGACTTGCAGTGTCCATATTGACTAGCGTGGTCCAGGCTATTGATAATAAAACAATTCCGGGGAGCTGGTGCTCGCTGCCCCGGGGTAGCTGCGCCCCAGGACTGTCTCAAAAGTTTATTATACATCGGAGCACAAAGCCAAGTTCCCAGCTGACTGCAGCATCTGGAAGCCCCTAATTACAGACATTTCTGAAATACATGTAACCTGTGTTAGCTGAAAAACGGCTTGCTTGAGAGGTCAGCTGTAGCGGCGTTGGCAACTCGCGTGCCGCGGAGCATTTTTAGTTAAGAAAAAAGGCAAAAGGAGAATATAGAACCGGGGGGGAAGGGGGGGCACAACTGCCCTGCTAGCTGCAAAGCGGGTGTTTCTGCAGCCTGAGGATGCGAAGGGTGAAAATTTGCAGAAAATATGAAATCAATTGGATTTTCCCCCCGGATCGTTATTAACGATTTATTATCACTACGTGGGGATTGTGTAGCTTTTAACCCCTGCGTGCTGAGGGTGTTGGGGCTGATCGCAAACCCTAATAACAATAATCCAGTCTGGTGTGTTGCGTCTCATTGAAATCGCCTCTCAGCAGAATGAACTGCAAATTATCCCCTGTTTACCATCTCCCTTCAGTGCTCATCTCAATGAACTGGAGATCGATCCCCACCACGGGTGTCTTCCAGCCAGGCTGATTTGCATTGAGGCGCATTAGAAAGCCTCCCACCTCCATGAAAAAGAATAATCCGAGAGGGGGGGAAAAAAAATCAAAAAAAAATCTCCAAGGTGTGGCGGGGAGGGAAAAATATCTGTCACTGTCATTTGGAGCTTCGAGAGGGAAAACCCAAGATCAGAGTATTTACACTTGTGAACTCTCACAACTTCTGTTAGAGACAGTGACGTTTAATTGATGTATTGCTATCAACAACAATAAAGACCGATTTTTCTCTAGCCCTGGCAATGCTGCTCTGCCCCCACCCTTTCCCCACCCCTCCCGGCCCCCAGCGAAGGAGAGGAAAACAAACAATAAATAATCAAGCGGTCCTACATGAAATACCAGGCGCCGCTTCACACACTAGCGAGGGAGAAGAGAAACGAAAAAAAAAAAGTTACAAAACTTGATTTCTCCCGATTAATTTCTCTTCCTTTAAGCCACTGTTTTTCTTGTCGTTGCTGCTGTTGTTGCTTTTTAATTACCAGTCCACGGCCGCCTTTTTCCAGCCGCGAAGCAAAGGTACTGCGCATCTGGGGAAATTTGTCTCGAGCTTAATCGACAAATGTATAATGAAATTGTAAACGCGAATAATTTCGGGCGAGCGGCTAGATTAGAAACCGTGGGAAGCTAATGCAGTGATTGATACAGTTAGAAATACAGACACAGATGTGTAAATAGATCCGCGTGGGTATTTTGTGTGCATCTACGTGTGGCTAGCTGTAAGTAACGCGTGCGTTTCTATACGTTCAGGTTCGGTTTCTTTCCGGCTGTCTCGGGGTAAGGAGGGTGACAGCCTGTGCTGAGTGTATCCATCTCTGCCGAAACATCTCTTTAAATATTCAGTGAAAAATAATGTCATGTGAAGTACCACCTATAGCAACATTATTATCTTCATTCTTCAACATCATCCCCGCTGATAGCTTCGTTTGTCTTGTTCTCAAAATCTACTGTACCAAATGCTGCGGGGAGGGAGGGGGCTCGCCCTGTGCAGAAATGAAAAGAAGCGTCAGTGGGCACTTTGCAACGCTGACTAAATACTGGAGTGGCACCTGGGAGGCTTTTTCGGTTCGTATGCGTTTGTTTGGTTGGTTTTTTGCGGCTCTTGTTTTTTTTCACCCTTCTTGCTAAACGTTTTACAGTCTCTTTCGTTTAATAATGAGAAGAAAATGCGAGTGAGCCGGTTCCTCGAATGGGAAGATTTCTCTCTCGCTCCCTTCTCCTCTCGCTCGCTCTCTAGGTTTTACCGGCTCATTTGAAATTGAAATGAGTTGTATCTGATCAGCCTCTTGCTTTTACAGAGAGTTTGTTAATATTAATACGGGAAAAAGGAGTAGCTTCTATAGAAGAGTAAATAATCCAGCGGGGGGAGTGGGAGGAGAGAGCACTAGATGGGTCAGGGTGGAGGAAAAGAAACCGCCTGCGCTCCCGCTTCTCCCAGCTCAGCTTATTTTGCAGAGTAACTTTCCGTGCAGGGACCGGAGTGACACGGGAAGGGGTGCGGGGAGCAGAGCGCGTCGCCCGCCATTCACCCACCGCCCACGCGTGCCGTTGGACGTACGAGATATTAAAAATAGCGTTGCCTGTAGCCTCTTTGCAGCTATGCTTTTTATTTTAAGATCGCGAAATTTGTTGTAAAGAGGTTCCTCCTCTGGAAGTAACACCCAGGCGTGAAAGTTTGATGCACGATGCGTTACATGGTAGGAGGTACGCGGTCCTGGTGGTGTAAACGCCGGAGACGAGACGCGACCA